TGAATATTTAGTTCATCTGTATCAGTGCAAAACAAATATAGCTAGTTAATATCCATCATTTTACTCTGGTTTCTACTTGATCTACATGTGCCTTATTATTCACAGATTCCAGATTTGTGAATTCACCTACTAAATAAAATATATTTGTAACCTTAAACCAATGCTCACAGTATGTAAGTGGCAATTTATGAACACACACAGTGTGGTGAAAAACTCGTCACCCCATGCACATGTTCCCAGCTACGACGAGAAAAGCTGACACTGTGCCTTACTGTTTCAGTGCTCACACTGTGAACAAGTGTCCTTTCTGAGCTCTGTCAGTGTCATATTGTTCATATCTGTGTACTCATTTTAGTCATTTCCCTGTTCAAAATGGCTTCCAAATGTGGTGCTGAAGTGCTGTCTAGTGTTTTTAAGTGCCAGGATTGACTAATTTTGTGGATTCATGAAATGATTATGAATTATAAAAAAAAGTGTGATGGATAGCATTGCTGAAAAGAATCATCTGGTCACATTATCCAAAGTCAAGAGAATTTCAACCCTCAGCTGTTGTGGCTGTGTTGCATATTTCAAAAAAGGTGATACAGAATAAAACCATTGTACTCCACAAAGATGTACAATATTATATATAAATAAGAAGTTATAATAAAAATATTATTTAAAAAGTAGATACAGCATGAAATATGTTAAACTAGCAGATAAACAAGGGAGGGGGGCTCTGGAGATAAAGAGGTTGCAAAATTTCTTAAATGCCCATTGAGTATCATACAAGAAAAGGATTGTGTGGAAGGGCAGGATTTCAATGCTAGTAAGAATGCCTTGTTTCATGAGGACACTGGCAAACAAAACTATATGAGGCAAATGACGTTTCAGTTAAAAAAGAAAATGTTACCAGAGACTCGTAGGAACTTAAATGTACATACTCCTAGGAGTAATATTTCAATATTCACTAACTCACTTTTCATGGTGACCTTTTAGAACATAACTGTGATTACTTAATGAGAATTGACTGTATTTATTTTAGGTTTCTTTTCTGTCTGAAAGGTATTGGTGTTCTGTACATATCTTTTATTTACTGAATTATCTTATTGTTTTGGGACCAACAGTTAGCGAAATGGCTATGTCGCTGGACTCCCATGTAGTTGACTGTGGTTTGAGTCCCGGACCCGGTGGCTTAAACTCACTCAGGGCGCGTGTGTGTGCGTGCCCAAGATCCCGAGAGGAGAATGGAGGAGAAGGGATTGTGGCATGGCCATCCCCCCTGGGGGGTGATTTCTTGCTTTCTGTCTCTCTCTCTCTCTCTCTGTCTTTCTGGCAAGTGTACATGCCTTATAGCAAAAACTTCTCAAAAATTATCTTATCGTTTTTGATAAGTTTTCCATAAAATATACAAACACGTTGCTCTTCAGTAGAATTAGTTTTACTATATTCTTTGTAACTGGGTACTTTCTCTTGCTTAATTGTATTTATTAATACCTCTGAAACAGTATCAATCAATAGCCAAAATAATTAGTTTATTTTCTCTGTTTCTGATTCTATTGTAAATCCTCTGATATTTCTTATTAAGTAAACTGGAAACTTTAGGCTGGAGTACATGCTTTATTATATTAAAAATGTATCCAGGGTAGTCCCATGGCCTAGTGGTAAAGGGAACTAGATCCCATGTGGCTGACTGCATAATTTGAGTTCCGTCTCCAACAGCTTGAAAAACACAATGGGTGCATGTGAGTGAATGCCTGAAATCCCAGCAATGGAGAAGAGGAGAAGGGATTGCAAGTGTTCCTTCCCCATGAGAGGTGTTTTCTCCCTCTCATTCTGTCTCTCTCTGGCAAGTGTACTTTCTCTCTGGTTAATATATATATATATAGCCATAAAATACTATGTTTATCATAAATTAGAATTTAATATAGTCTTTTTATTTAAGTGTGCCTTTTGTATATAGTTGAGAGTTGAATTTTGCATTGTTGGTTATTTTGATAATCTTTTCTTAATGAATGAATAAAATTGAATTGCATTAGTTCATATTTATATTAGTTTTGTTTCTGCAATATTGTTTTATTAAAATATGAGTGTTTATATTGTGTTTTATATTAAAAAAACACTATATCTTCATTCAATTTGACCCTTATACTTTTTATCCTTATTGTTTAATATTAATTTTGTAGTTAAATAATAAACAATACAAAATTCAAGTATATATATATATATATAATATATATATATATACAAAAGACACACTTTAAAAAAAATTAAAAAACTAGGGTACATGCAGTTGGCCTGGTGGTTAAGGTGCTGAATTCCCACACGATTGACCATGGTTCGAGTCCCAGGCTCAGTGGCTTGAAAATTATGCAGGGCATGCATGCATGCATGCTCAAAATCTTGAGAGGAGAATAGAGGAAAAATGACTTCTGTGTGGCCATCCTCCCTGGAGGGCATTTCTCATTCCCCCTCTCTCTGTTTCTTTCTGTCTCTCTCTGGCAAGTGTAAGCCCCTGATTGCAAAAACCTAAACAAACAAACAAACAAAATACATAAAACACAATAAAAAAAAGAGATTATATTAGATCTTCGTCCATAATAATACTTAGGCCAGTTTATGCTTAATATTTTCTAGTAATTTCTTTGTCAGATGTTTTCTTTTTATTGCCTTATATTCAGAGGGAGTCCAGGCTTCTGTAAGTATGCTTTGACTTAAATTAGGCCAACAAAGCTTCATACTCTGAGAGTTAAATAGCGCAATGAATTTAGTTGCATACATAATATTAATTATTTTCTTTTTCCTTCCTAATGGATTTCTGTTTTTATATGGGCTGCAACAGATTTAGCTGAAAGACAACATCTCCCAGCCTTTCTTGTAACCAGAATAGGTCATGGGACACATTTCTGGCCAAAAAGACATAATCTAAAATCTGCTGGGAGATTTTAGACTTCTAGAAAACTACTTTCTCTAAATTGGTGTATTCCCTTCCTGATGGCCAGTTATCCTTTTCTATGTTTCTTCTTATTTTCCTTTTCCTTCTCTTCTGCATTCTACTCCTATTCATCTTTCTCCTTTGGCTCTTCTATCTTCTCTGGAAAGTAGATAGGAGCTGGGAGATGGAGCGGCCATCTTTCAACTATAAGGTAACCATGGGAAGAAAGCAATTTGCTAATGGTAGCTGAGCGGGGAGAAAAAGATCATGGGCTCTTGCTGGTGTGTTTTACTCTTGGACTTCTTGCTCTGGCCTCAGTGTTTTGTGAAAAATATAATCCCTTATTTAGTTTATTTCCTGGGATTGGGTTTATATCACACATATCAAACCTATACCTAACTAATATATTTAACTTAATTCCTACTCTTACATGGCTTCTCACTTCATTTTCTCTTGTCATTCTCTAATTTGTCTCTTGAACTTAAAGACAGATTCATCTTCTCTGGTTTTGATCTTTGGCACTCTTTTAGGCTTGACTCACATTCATTGTTTCATGCTCTTCTCTTTCATTCACCCCAGCTAGTGCCTATTTTCTTAGATGATTTCCTTCTCTCCTTTGTGTAAGTAGAGCCTATGGTTCTGAAGGCTGTTGCTTAATTGTAGTGTGCATGGAGATGGTATCAAGTCTTTGACTCTGGTATGAAAACATGTGCATGCATGTACAGATATATTCCATTTTCAAATCAAACTGTGGTTCTGGATGAAGTATATTGGGTCATGTATGCCAGTATGGGAGAGGGAAAAGTAGCAATGTGCATTCAAAACATGGCAGACATTAGAGCGTTGCTTTGAAGTTTTTGGATCAGAACTGTGAAAAATAGAATACTATGATCTTACCATTTGAATATCTTAACAATAAACATAGCTATCATCTACCAAGAACAAACAAACAATCAAAGAAACAAACAAAAATCCTTCTTTCAGAAAATACTTAGGTAGCCTGTGAGCCTTCTCATTAGTACAGTTTGGAGAAAGATATGATGGGTTGAGTTCTGGAGAAGCTGACAGACATAACTGTGATACATACAAGGTGACTTCTGACCTGAACAGCTCCATGATAATCATTTTAAGAGGAGTACTTCAAGATCCTATTATTACTGAAATCTCATTTTTTGGCAAAATACAGCTATAAACAAAGACTTCCATAAGATCTGGTGGTGATTAGACAGTTTCAACCTTTTCACATGAAGAAGTTAATAAAAGAGAGCTTAAATGACCTGCTCAGGATTTTACAGCTAGCACTAGCCTTACTTAGAGAACTCTAGTCTTAAATTTTCTATTCAGTTCAGGAAAAAGTTCGTCCTTATGTGAATAGGTGAGAGCAATTATTAGAAACATTACTTCTAATTAACTGCTGCTGATTGAGGTGTATGAGTAATTTACAAACTTTGGAACCTTAATGGTGGATTAGTACCTTACAGGAGCCCTACGGAGAAAGAAAAAGAGAGAGCTGGCAATGGTGTATACAGCAAAGGAAAATCTCAGGCTTGGCAATTAGCACCAAAATTGGCCCAAGATACTGGTCTTTGTCCAACAAGGAAACCATATGATAGGGCATGAGAGGGAGGCAAATTAAAATGCCTACAGTGCTGGGCTGGTGAGGTACATTGGCAAAGTGGGCCAGAACTAGAGCTGAGGGGTGTACCTTGTGGTTGGGGTGTGTGAGCATGTGTAGGTGTGTGAATATGTGTCTAAGGGCACTGTACTGAGTTCAAGAAAACTGAACACTTTAAAAGACGCAAATGTTGCTTAGCTCCAAAAGAGCTTTGCTTTCTTAATTCTTATTACTCGAAAACCTTCTTTTTCAAAAGAAGCCAGAAGCCAACATTTTTATGTGAAAAACCCTGATTTTTCAATATTGGCTTGAAATATTAAGCCTTTGACTTCAGTATGCAGTCATTTAAAACATGGAGTCTTATCTGCGTAAAAGAGATGACTTGTAGGCTATTGACTAAGGAACAAAGGTGGTTTGGAAGAAGTAGCGACATGAATAAAGAGGGCATATAGATAGAAAACAGACAATGAAGAAGCTTGACAATTTTATTGAATCTTTGATACATTGAAAGCTGAGCGTTTCTATGAAAAGGTTTCAAGAACAACATTCTCTTTCCATTTTTGCCACTGTGGCTATTAATTCTCCTCTTCTGTTATTATAAAGCAGGTACATTGTGATTAGGATAATTTACAGTTACAAATAATATTATAGAAAAATAATTTCATGACTAAATGTAAATAGATTGGGGTATTTAATTCAAAATAAGAAGAAAATAAAAGAAGCCAGCACATTGATATTTTGAAGCTGATGTTCATGACAATACTTTGACAATCGTTTATTCCATTTACTATCTTTTGGATACACAGAGCTAAAAGAAAATATTTATTGGCATGCAAAGCAATATGACTTCAAAATATATCTCTTAAATTTACAGAACTTAAAATTTCAAACATCTCACATGGCTGGTAGCTGATGTTGTAAAGATGATCTTGAATTGTGACCTACTCATTTCCTAGAGATAAAAAACAAAACAAAACAAACAAACAAACAAAAACAAGACAATGATTTAACATAACTATGATAACCAGATGATATAATTAACTTATCTAAAAAATATTTTTTAGGGACCAGTAGTTAGCGTAATGGCTATGTCGCTGGACTCCCATGTAGTCAACTGCAGTTCACGTCCCAGACCCAGTGGCTTAAACTCACGCCAGGCGCGTGTGCGTGCGTGCCCAAGATCCCAAGAGGAGAATGGAGGAGAAGGGATTGCAGTGTGGCCATCCCCCCTGGGGGGTGATTTCTCGCTTTCTGTCTCTCTCTGTCTCTCTCTGTCTGTCTGGCAAGCGCACATGCCCTATAGCAAAAACTTGTAAAAAGGAAAAATATTTGTAAAAGAATTATATTTTATTTAACTTTCTTTATTTATTCATTTATGTTAATTTGACCAGAAAGGGAGAGAAAGAAAGTGAGAAAGCAAGCCACCATGTCTGAAACTCAAACCACAGTCACCCATGTGGGAGTCCAGAGCACTTAACCACCACACCACTTGCTGGTCCCCCTAGAAAATATTTTAAAAATCACTTATCTAGGGAATATTTTAATGATTTATTTTTTATAAATATTGTTATCATCCCTTCATTTGTAATCCTGTTCTTTGTACTCTTAAAATATTTTTGTTTAATATGATTTATCCAAAAGGCTACCTGCCAAAAATATATTTATGAATTATTGTGAAAAGCAATCGAAATGTATCAATATAGGTGGCTATTTTTATTTTTTTAAAAATTGCCAGAGGTGTATGTGCTCAACAGAGAAAGACAGAAGAAAGAGAGAGAGAGAGAGGAAGAAAGCACACCCCAATAGAGTGTGGTCACGCTACAGTTTCTTCCTCTCCACTTCTCCATCTTGTCGGAGTTTTGGGCAAACACATTCACATTTTCCTGGCATGGTTTCAAGTGTCTGGGACCAGGATTCAAACTGCATGGTCAGTCATTTGAGATATAGCTCCCCTAACCACTAGGCCATGCAGCTAGCCTGATAGGTAGTTATTTTTTGGTGTTCAGTTTTTACTACTACATTTATCAGATTGAGTATATAATACTGTATATGCTGGCATTTCACTGTTGCACTAAAATTTCAGCATATATATGTGTATATATATATATCTATCTCAATTTTAATGTGACGTTAACATGTGAATGGCTTAGTGTCTTCATGTTTCACATATATATAAATATATTTACAGTGTCTTGTATCTCAGAGATACTCAGCAAGGTTTTTGCAATAAATGAGTAAGTGGATAAAAACTATAATGGTAAACAACAAATGTAATGATGTACTCCTAAATTATTTAAAAATGCATAATTTTTATCATATAAGGCAGTAAAGAATTTCTCCTCCTATCTAGGGGACAATTTGTACCAGTGTGACAATCCATATGTATGAAAGTTTTGATGGTTTTCAGAATTAAGTAAAAATCAGTTACCTGTCAGTGATTTTGGTCTGAATCAACCAGTTAATAAAGTCCCTAGTAGCTAGATTATCAAGAACTGTGTTCATTTCATCAGAGAAAGAGCCATCAGCATGTCTGCGGCGGAGTTCTTCAACAATGGCGACTTCATCAGGGAAACTAAGAAAATGAAGGCTAAAATTAGTGTTTGGTGAGACAGTTTAAATAATCACTTATGGTTTGCCTACCATTGGTAACAAAAGCACGGCTCATTAAGAAAGCAATAAAGGCTTCTGTTTTTAGAGGACCTGCTATGAGAGGCCTCAGAAAAATCCATGTGAACTAGTCACAGTTGGAAACGTGGAAAGCTGCAGAGCTAGGATCTGAAATGAAAGCTCAAAAAAGTTCATGGAAAACGGAATTGATTAATGAGATGGTTTGGGTGTAAAATTTTTTTGAAATGCATGTGCAGTTTTCCATGATATACATTTTTCATGAATTTTTCGAGGCGTCCTTTATAACTTCATGCCCTTTTCAATATGTCAGGTTGCTTCAAAGAAGCACTACAGAAGCTATAGTTGAGGCAATTCACCTGTCTGTGATTCACAAAATGTATCTAGAAAAACCAGTGATTATTGGGGCAACCTGGCAAAATTAAGAGATGAAAGCTTAGTCTATATTAAATTTTCTCTTTACCAATGTAGAATTTTTGGTATTCTTTTAAAACACAATAAAATATCCTCAAGTATTAGCAACGAGTTTACCACTGGTTTTGCAAGCTTCACTATTAATATTTGAAATAGAAACCATAATACTACTTTCCAGTCATGTGGAGATCTCTTAAGTTTAGTAAGCTTGTTTCAAATCTGATTTAAAATCAGTGCTGAACATAAATTTCCCACCTCTCTATATCTCAAACGTCAATCAAAATGGTCAAGAGAAAATGAGATGGCTCAGGAATCAGTTTGGTAGTGCTAAGGTTTAGGTCAGTAACTGAAGATCATAATCTCCTTTTAACTTTGATCATAATATAACAACCCCATAAAAAACTGGATTTGTGGTCAAATATATAGATATTTCTACATATATGCTCTTTGTTATTTCATCAGCATCTTATGTTTGTCCCTCAGTCTTCACTACATTTTGGTTTAAATATTTAGCATGTAAGTACATGTTGAACACATGAAAAAATTGAAAGTCAAACTTTAAAATTTTAGAAGTTTTACTTAAATATCTAAAGTTTTTGGTACTATTTCTTTTCCCCCCTCCTCATTTCTAGCTTTCCTGGGCTAGTCCTAGTTTAAACTTCCTATGTGAATTGCTATCAATGTAACTTATTTGCTCTTAAAAGTGTCTTGGTTTAGACATCAGATTTATACCCAATTACAATACAATTACAAAGGAGTATAAAAAATGGAACTTGCCCAACTTTATTATTAAAACTTGCTACTGGGACAGCAGGTGGCATGGTGGTTAAGGCACTGGACTCCCACATGGTCAACTTGAACCCAATGGCTTAAAAATCATGCTGGTGTGCATATGTATGTGTGCCCCAAATCCCAAGAGAGAATGGAGGAGAAGGGATTGCAGTGTGGTCATCTGCCCTGAAGGGTGATTTCTCACTTTCCCTCTCTCTGTCTCTCTTCAGCAAGGTCACAATCCTATGGCAAAAAAAACCACAAAAAACAAAAACAAACAAACAAACAAAAAAAAAACCCTAAAAACAAAACAAAACTTGCTACCAAAGATAAAATGGACTAGACTTTTGTATACCATTTCTCACCATTAGGAGTTATTTTCTTAGTTTGTGAGATATACGAATTACTTTTATAATCCAGCTTCATATATAGATAACTGTAGCCTTAAATTTTCTGCATGAAGGGAGAAAAAAAATGTCAAATAAGAATGTACAGACTTACTCTCGCCTTCCTCGGCCTTTCACCAGCCAAGCAATGAATTCCTTGGCAGCTTGGCCTTCCAAATAAGAACTTACATCGCTGGTAAAGGTCCCTTCAGCATGTCTCTCAAATTCATCATGACGTTTGGCAATGTTATTCCTGAAAGAAGTGCGCAAGTTAAGTAGAAGATGTGTCTCTTGGGCAATATGGTTCTCACCTATACGCAGTGGCCAGTTTGTGTTAGGGATATTATGTAGGAGGGGATTGAAGTTTGAGAGATGAGGGTGGCTACGTGATTAGCCTTGAAGCTACATTCATGATCTGGATTTTAATTGCTGGGAGCGGGCTCATAGCAATTAAGGAGAGACTAAATTGCTCCATTTCTTCCCCAGATCCCCATTTTCACCTCCCCTTGCTTATCTGTGCCATTGGTTATCAAAGCAGCATCACTTAGTTTCCTCTCATTTTATATAGGCCGTCCACCTTGCTATGCAACTTGCAAACAAGGCAGCTGGTTGTTATTAGCATGATAGGGTCAGAGTAGTTAATTGATTCAAGGGAAAGCAACGGGCCATCTCAAAATGTCTTTGAAAGGACCATATGATAATGGGCTGAAGAAAATGTGTGATCTGCTTGCAAGAAAGAATGCAAAGGAGATGACTCTGTCTGCCCTAAGTGTATGCAAAGCACCTTGTGAATGACCATCAGCTGCTGTCAGTCTCCCGAGCATCTATCCCCTGAAAGGATTCCGCTTATATACACAGCAGACACTCCCTGCAAGTGGTCACTGCTTTACATTAACTTACTGACCTATAGCATTACCATTCTAGAATATGAGGATAGTTGTTTTCATTCTTAGAAGTTTGTGATTTCTCATGTCTCACTGATGACCTGGAGTCCTTGACAGGCATTTCTCCCAGTATCTATTCTGTCTACGACAGCTATCTTTTGAGTAGGTGTACTCTTAATTTTAAGAACTTTTGGTTAACAACTCTCTGACTCCTCCTTGCTTCTGCTCTCTCTTTCTTGTTCTCAGTCCCTTCTTCATTCTATTCAGGCAAATCTATGTCCTTTTTCTGATTTTTAGATCCCTTAAGCTACTTTGTATGCATAACTCTCTTCCCCTTATGGGCCACTTTCCAAAGAAATTGTGAAATTCCACCACTTCTGTGAAACCTTTGTGGAAAATTTTCTCCAGTAGCCTAGATGCATCAAAAATCCCAACACTCATCAAAGGAAATCTAGCATTAAAATGTATGCCTTACGATAAGCTTGTGTTCTTATTTGCCGCCTTCCCTCTTTATGCTGTGCAGCTAGGCTGTGATTTTAAATGCATATCTTGGATTTTATTCTACAAGAAAAAGAATGCATCTGTTTCCATTACTTCTTAACTTGGCTAGGGAATACTTTAATGTGACTGTAGTCATGGGTTTGAACCCCTACAAGAGAATGTTAAACTTACTCTATCTTTTGGTTAGAAATTTGATTCCTAAACTCTCAGGTTCACAAGTCAATTTTCAGTTTTAAAGGAAAATGAGTAAGAGAGTAAATATTGCTAAGATCACAGTTGGGAAAACAATGTAAAGTCTATGCCACGCTAGTGAGTAGGTAAGGGGTTTGGAGGGATGTGGGGTAAGACATAGCCCTGGAGGCATAATGCAAAGGATAAGATATCAACCTTTATAATCATCAAAATCGGAGGAGCTTCTGGACACTATTTATTGAGTATGATAAAGTCAGAATACATTTTAGACATATTTAGAACATGTATGAGAAACTTTTGGATCAGATTGGTTCTCTCACCGGTTCCTCTTGGTGTTCATCAACCACTGCACAAAATCTTGGGCACGCCTGGAGTCCAGATACTTGCTGTAGTCACTGGTAAATGTGCCCTGGGAATGGCGCTTGTCTTCCGTCATCTGATCAGGATCAGTCAGCGGGTCTGTCTGCGAAGCTGAGAATGCTCTGTGAAGAAGAGTGAGTAGTGCGATGTAATCTCTCCTCAAGGGCAGACTCGCTTAAGAAGCATCTTTGCTACAAATTACAAAGCCACTTAGAAGCAATAAGGCTAGATAGTGAAGAAGGTATTTTAGTGAGACCTTGGCTTGTCATGGAAATACCCTAGTTTTAGTACAGTTAAGTATAGTCTTATTTTGAATCCTGGTATTAGGTTTCTCAACTGACTTCTTTTTTTCTGAAAGAGAATCAAATGAATCTTTTCCACAAATTAATCTACTCATGATTATGTTAATAATGACAGAAGAGAGTAGTGACTTGAATATTCTAAAAGTTAAGAATCCCGAATCATTTTTTCTGGGCAGCAGATTTATGTTCTCAATTCTGTTTTGCATATATTAACATAAAAGCAGCTCAAGTACCTAGTTATAAGGTACCTAGCTAAGGGTGGGAGAAAGAATTTAAAGTTCAAAGAAGAGCAAGGAAAACAATCCCTTGCTAATTTGACACTGTACACTGGGTAATCTAGTATGTGTACAAACATTCAACAGTTCGGCATGATAAATATTTGAGAAAATAGTCAATGTGGTTAATACTCAGAAATGAGAAAAAGCCTGTTTTTACCTGTCAAATGATGGAAGATGAAATAGTGGAGAGAGTATCGTGAGAAGCATTGCTAATGGGTATGTGCATGTATCTGTATGACTTTTCTGGGAAGCAAGTTGACAAGATATTATGAAAGTTTTAAAACTCACTCAAACTGTTTGACACAGTAATTCTACTGCTAGAAATCAATCCTCAGAAAGCAGTAAAAGATTTAGGGAAAAGTGTATGTACAAAATATTATTTTAGTACTCTGGGGAAACTTAAAAACCTCTTAAGTGTTTAGTAGAAGAGAAATAGCTTAATAAATATTTGATACTCTGGAGACAAAATAGCATGCCACTAAATATGCATCTAATAAGTATTTTAGTAATGGAAGAAAAAGCTAATAATACAATGTTCAGAGATACAAAAGCATATAATGAGCTGAGATATTTATATATAATATACTTAAGTTATGAGAAAGTAATATACCAATTCAAAAATTTTGAATAGTTTTCTCTGGACAGACAGTAAAATTTGAGTACTTGAATTTTTGCCATGTGTTTCATATTTTCCATGATGAACATGTATGACTTTTACAATTAGCAAGAAGCAATGTTATTTTTAAAGGGAATAACAAACAGAGATAGTGTGAATAATAGAACAATCTATGCAATGCCTAACGAATGGAAGATAGGATTATCTGAAGAATTCAGAGCCATAATTTGCGAAGTAACATGCTTTTCAATAGTTGCTACCCCTTTGGTTATGAAAATACAAACACTCTAATGTACCCTCTAGAAAAGTCTGCTTTTATCCCAATGATACTTTAAATATTTGACAATTGTGCAGAGTGTTTACTCCAAACTACTAAGGCCCTATTCCTTAAACGTCGTTTGCACAGGCTTTATTCTAACTGGAGTGCTACATCGGTTCAAGTGTAAGTCTTTACAGTACCTGGATTTCTCCTCTGCATCTTGAAGGGAACGTTGCCAGCTGCCTTGTACCAGCATAACAAACAATCCAGCCACAAAGTAAATGCTTTTCATCTTTGCTGCCTGTCAGAACGGAAAGGGGGTGAACCGGGGGGAGAGGGACAGGGAATCAGTTTTTAAATGTCCAGTTAAATTAGTTCAGTTTTGATTAGGTAAATGCAAACAGAAAGAAAAAGCTAGTCTTATCAGTTTTATTCTGATTATAATTGCAATTGACTTCTACATAGTGGATTATGATCTTTCTTCAAATTTTCAGAGGCATAAAAGGATATAAAAGATGTTTTCTACTATCAAGCTTTTTCATTAATGTAGGACACTTCTGTTAATAATTAGAAGACTCATTTTCAGACTTAAAATTAAAAGTGTCCATGATAAACATTTAAAATATCCCTTGTAGATGATATGCTACATATGGTTAGCCTGAATGGCACCTTATCCATAATGCCACCCCCCCCTTTCACTATCAGTCTGGCTTTCAATTAATAGTCCTTCACTTCCAAGCATTTACATTATACTGCATTTCAACCATCTTAAAGCAGCCTCAGGCTACAACTTGGCATACCAGCTGTCGGTTCAGATGTATTATTCATTTATATTTTAAATAGTGTAACTTGGTCTAGACTTTGTAATTATAAAGCGGCCAACAGATTTGAGGTATTTTAGGGTGCTTTGACCTGTTCTAAATTAAAGGGAAAAATCATTTTAAAGACAAGCAATTTGCAGCAAGAACTAATGCTTCTGGCAATTTGAACAATCACAACCAAGAAACTAAGAGATTAGTATCAGAAAGAAAATTAGTGCTTGCTTCCAAAGTCTTGGAAGTCCCAGGTTGTTTTATAATTGGCCTTAGTCCAGGACATGTTATTCCCTGCAAGTAACACCATAGACCTGGGTGCGGGATAAACCTGATTGCCTGTTCTCATAGCACAAGCAGATGTCCACAAAGGCATAGAAGCCAAGGATGTGACAATACAGGGTGGATGGGGACAGGGGCCAAATGAATGGGGGACGGGATGTCCCCATAAAGCAAGCCCCTCTATTTTCTGAATGGAAACCTTACGTCCAGTGTTTGTCATGGCTTCTCTTTGCTACTTTCAAATCCAACTGGGGTTCTTTTGAAAAGTAGGGATTTCAGTCCAAGTTTGATTATGTTTATCCATAAATAATTTGAATGAGTATTTTTAGCAAATGACATTTGGTTTGGAATAAGAATTTTACAAATATTATCATTTTAAACCATCCATCTTTTCTTTAGCATCCTGGCCATATTTACTATCTCTGGTACTAAAACATAGAGACTATAATACCTACAGTGTAACTTTTTTTTTTTTTGAAATAGTAAGTCTTGCAGATGAAATGGCCAATTAGATAAGTCAATATAAAAGGAATTATATATTCACCTTTCTTCATTCCTCATGACTAATTTGGCATGTTGATATGCTTCAGTTTAACTGGTTGACAAACCTCGAGAACCTTTCATGTATTTAGGTAGTCTCTCCTAGTTATAACTATAACTATAGTATCCATGCTTTCAGGCATATTTAAAAAGTTAAAGCAAGCACTTTTTTTTAAGGATTATATCTAAAAATGTTTCTTGTATAAGAATGAAAACTGTCACTTTAGCCCTAAACATTAGGTTGTTGGGAAAGTTATAATGTATTTTTCTACGCAAAATGAATCATGTCTTTCCTAACTACCCAATAATTCCTTCTCGAAGTCCTTAAAGATTTTTCACTATCTTCTATTATGTTCTATTGAGGCAGATGAAGAGCAGGTGGTATTCTACCACTGTGGGAACTGCTAGAAGAAGAAACAACCATGAAAAAGTTAAGTCTTTGAAATCGTCTATGAATTGACTTTTAAAATCATATTTACTTACCTAGCGAAAGTCTAAGAAATTGCTAAAAAAAAAGAGGCTGATTGAATACTATCATTGAAAAAGTTAATATATGTTATATTAGTACCAAAACCTTATTCAAAAAAAAAGTTCTCAATTTTTTTCTCTCTTTTTCTGAGGTGTAAGAAAAGAGTGTGTAGTTTTCTAATAACCACACATTTCTATTTAAATTTAAAAGGAAGCTATCATCACAATAGTATATCTGAGTAAGGAGTCTTTTAGACAGATTAATTTTATACCTAGGAAAAGAAACATTACATTTGCATTTCAGGCCACATAAAATACTTTTCAAACTTGTTGGATCATTTCATCTAAGAGGTTCTCAGTGTGTGTGTAAAACACATTACTTAATCATTTACTCCATTGAGGATCTTTGTAAATTTGCTTATTTTTTCTAAAGATATGTACTAATTTTATAACAGAGTGTAGCTATTTTAGATTTAATTTATTACTAGTCATCCTTAATACATAATAAATAATTATTAATTTGTGGTTTTATTCAGACCCTTTCAAAGAAATCCTTAATAATTGATGATACTTGTTATGCATATCAAATATGCTGTTTCTTACTTACAAAGAGCTGATTTCATAGACTTTGATTTTTTGGATAGACATTTGAATATATAAAAGATGTTATTGAATCAACTCTTTGGGAAAACCAGAGGTTTTAATGAGTAAAGAGCGATTGCTGATATAGTCTTTCTAATAGACACATTTCTGATCAATTTAGAAGTCGCCTTCTGTTCAAAGTAGTGTACACATCTATCAAATCCAAGGAAAAGTATTTTCAAAATGTTACCACTTATTTTAAAAGGCAGTTCTCATAAGTTAAGTCTTGTAACAAGTGCATTGATTTCAATCTTCGTTTTTCCTTCTATTTTATATGACTTCACTGAATCGCTTCTCCCCCTCACATTGCAGCTTCTCTTTGTTAAAATAGATGTAAGCGCACATGGTAGCGCTTTTCATTTCAATTCTGCTCTGTGTATCATTAGTAAGGAAGTTTAAAATGAAAGAACAATACTTTAATTCCTAATACTTTGCTCCCTTAAAAATACTTAGCAATCCCCAAAAAAGGTTTCGTAGCGTTGCAATTACCCAGTATCAATCTTACCTTCAGATACTGTGGTGCAGAGCAGAGCAGGTGGAGCTAGGCAAGCCCTCTTTGGGAACTTTGGCTGTGCTCTGTGTCCTGAGCTCTGTACTTCTGCATCAGAGTGTTCCCCTTTTATACACTCTCCAGCTGTTTAGCCTCACAGATATTATGCTGACAATATAAATTTCTCATCTGTAAATAATAGGTTTTTGTTACAAGTGACTTCACTCGCTTACTCACTACGCTCATCTGCATTCTACGCTTATTATCAAGTGGAATCTCAGAGACCTGGAAACTTCTTATTTACTCTCATGGTTTTTTTGTTATTGTTGGAAATGAAAAAAAAAAGCAGTTTGGAAAATCCCCTTGCATTCTCAGTCAGGCATGACAATCACTTAAGTTCACTAAAGTAAATTTCGATGTTGAAGACAAATGACCTTGAAATTAAATAGCCCATGGCGAACCCCATTTTGAGCATGACCTCATTTGAAGGCCTTTTAGGCCTTTTGGCTTGCCACAGGCATGAATTTATTTGAGTATAATAATCCATATATTCTTCTACCCAAATAATAAATCATTCATCCTATACATACTTATTTAGAATCCTATCATCCTCCCTATATGGAATTAATTCATGATTTTTTGTTGTTGTTGGGAGCGTAAGAATATCAGTTAAGAACTAATGTGTCCTCTTTTAGTAAATTAGATTCAGGGATAAAGGTAGAACAAAGTGAAGATTAAATATCCAAGATAGAGTGAACTTGCCTGTGACATGGCAGTTAAGGAAGCTGGATCCCACAAAGCTGACTACACAGTTTGAGTCCCAGACTCGGTGGCTTGAGAAAGTTCTAGTATCATGTGTGTGTGTGCCCAACATCCTGAAAAGAAAGAGAAGTGGAGAAGAAAGGACTGTGGCATGACTCTTCCCATTGTGAAGGAAGGGTGCTTTCTCACTTTCCCTCTGTCTCTCTGTCAAGCACACATGTCATCTGGCAAATGAAAAGAAAAGATCTAAGATAAGTGATGCAAATAAGACAGAGTCTAGTATCTCTTTTCCTTCTAATAGGTATTTAAAGTGAATTTACTGATAAGAGAATGGGATACTAAATTACAGAAGAATGAGATATGAGGGAAACTTTGAGATTATATGAAGCTGTGATATTTCCTGACTTTTGTGCCTTGCCATGGAAGCCTTTAATGATTTATAGGATTTATCTGACCCCTTTAGAGAAATAGAAAAGTGGGAAATTATGTGGACTGGCAGCATAAGAATTAGTGTGAGAATGGTTAGATTTTAGTCATGCTGCTACCAACAAGCCGGGTGACCTTAGTCAAGTTCACATACTCTCTTTGTGCCTTTGCCTCCTGATTTGTAAAATGAGAGGGGTGGTTAAATGTCCCTTCTAAAATAAAAATCCTATTCCATATGGCAAAATCATCACAACATTTCCTAACTAGGTTCCAAGATTCTAATATAATCAACTACGTGATGTAACTGACTTGGATGGAAGTAAATCATTGAGGCAACTGGAGAAATATTCCAAATGAGCATAACTGTTTAATTTGTGCATCAGACCAACTGCTTGGTGTAGCTACTTAAAGGCTATGGAGATCAGGTTCAAGTCAAGTTGGGCTCACTGAGGGGTTTTCATGCTGGTGGTTATTGAAGATATAAAGCCTTGCTGGTGAAAGGATGATTTGAGACTAGTATATCACCCAAGACCTTGCTAGACATGCAGAATCTCATGCCCCAAACAAGACTTACCACATGGGAGTTCTCATATTATCCAGATTGCCCAAAGCAACTCATATACATATTAAATATTGCAATGCACCGCTCTATAAAATGTCCATCTCTCTTTACCTCCTCATGGGTGCTGCTGATGTCTTGAACTGAGGGTCTGCTTCTTGGCACAACCAGCAGAGGGGGCAAAAGAGCAGAGAAGGGCCTTGAGCCTCCGGCTCTTCTGGAGCAACATTTAAAAATACAGTAATGGTTTGAAAACGTGGATTGGCTTAATGTATGATTAAATTGGTCTTCCTTTCTGCTATAATCTTCACGACTATGATAGTTACATTTTATTAACTGTTGTGGCACATTCAGTTCTATTTTTCCTATTTTCCCTCATTGTCTATTGTCTTGGGTGTCTGTGTCCTGTCTGCTGCTCGGACACTACGTTGGTGCAGCAGCCCTGAGAAGGGGACTCTGCAGATGGTGTATATCCCTTAACAAAGCACCAGCTTCTCAGTACATATCCTCTCCTGATATTTTATTTTTTTCCCTCCCTGCCCTTCTTGCTTGCTCTTATTTTTAGAAGTGACTATCACAAGTTCTCTCATGAAATTTTCTCTACCTTCACCTCAAGTCCACCAACACCAACTCTTGGTCCCCCCCCAACACACCGCCCAAAACCATAACAATAAGCGTTCTGAGAAAACAGACACATAAGAACCCTGCTGCACGAATCACTGCTTTCTTTCCAAGAAATGGCTAATCAGGCCTCTTAATCAGCTCTGTGTTACTCAAAATTAAGGTAAACCTCAAATGCAACTTGGACTTGCAGCTCTTCCATGACTGTCCCAGCAGCACCAGTCTCTACTTGACCTCCAATTCCTATCACAGCAGTTGTTCAGTTATTTAGACATGAGGCAAGGATAATGGTAGCCCTGCATTTATGCAGCTAGTACTGAAAAGCTTGTGCAAAACCAGAGAAGTTCTGAGAGGTGTTTAGGGTTCTCCCATCAAGCAGCACACGGGTGCCTGAGGTTGCTGGGAGGTTTGCCTCACAATGTCTTACAAGGGAATGTGTCTTCCTAAAAGGTCGATGTAACTTGAGACAAGTAATATAAAACACAATGATTATATGAAGCATAATAGAAGTTTGCATCCATGTTTAAGATAAAATAAGGCACTCTTTGAAAGAGCTCTAGCTTTCTTTATGATATTTAGGAGCAAGGCAACGTCTATGAGCTTATGACCTATGCAGCTGTGCAACCATGTTGCCTAATATTCTGTTCTTTCCATCTTGAAATATTTTTTTTAATTATTTATTTGTTTACTGTTAGTCTTCAAGTTGACCAGAGAAAGACAGAGAAAGAGAGAGAAGGAGAGTGAGAAAGCAAGCTGCCAGGTCCGAGACTTGAACCATGGTCAGCCATGTGGGAATCCAGTTTTTTAACTACCAGGTGGTGACCTGCCATCCCCCATCTTGAAATTCTTACTAAGCTTTGAGCAAGTCTCCACATTTTTATTTTTCATGTCTTGCATATTTTGTAGCTAGTCCTGTGTGGGACCTCACATCCTGAAATCATGGAGTGTGGGATTGATATATGTTTATTTTCTGTAGCGGT